GTACCCTGCCCAGGGGACGCTCGTGTCTCAGAGTCTGCCCGGCCCATTTTCAGAGGAAACAGGTTCAGCCTAACAAGGGACTTGACCCAAAGTCACTGCCAATGACCCACGGGCCTTGCTAAAATCCAGGGCCCCTTTCCAGCTGAGGGCCCTGTGTACACCAGGCCACCCTGGGGGGACTGGGCATCCTTTGCCCCCTGTGGCAAGCTCGGCTGACCCCACCCTGGCTCTGACAGAACAGCACCGCCCCCCACAACTTCCAGCCCACCAGAATGGGGAGCAGGGAGGATCCAGGCCTTGGCGGTAGCCTGCAGCCTGGGCTCAGGAAATGCAGGCAAGGGTACCTATCCACTGAGGGGGGTGGTCCTGGGCTAACACGAGGTCACACAGACACAGGGCCGGTCCCCGCCCCCGTGGGGGGTCTCAGGGAGGAGGTCTGGCTGGGGAGGTGTCTTGGGTCACTGTGGCCTGTCAGTGACTCTCCTGGACACATCTCAGGGTGCTGGCGAGGACTACATGGAGCCGATGTATGATTTTTTTAGGTTGATGCCAGAGGGGGTGTGTGATCGCCAAAGAGACAGAGGGAAAATGAGAAATCAGCCCCCAGGGCTGGCTGTGCTGCAATCCCTTCTCCTCCATTCTCCTCTTGGCATTTTGGGCACGCACGCACACCCACACACCCCCAGAGTGTTTTTCAGGCTGCCAGGCCCAAGACTCGAACCGCGTAGTCAGCCACGGCTTAACCACCATGCCACTTAGCTGACTTTTATTTTTTTTTTTTTTTTTTATTCACAGCTGAGCAGCTGCCAATAGCTTCGCTTTCTCAAGGGTCGAGCTCCAGCCTGGGAAGCCTGGATGGGGTCCCTGTCGGGAAGCCTGCGGGAGCAGGAGGCTCCAGGCTACCTCTGAGGGCGGTGCCAGGCGGTCTGTGTGTCACACGAGCCACACGCGGTGCCCAGCCCGTGGTGTGGTCAGCAGAGGGTGAACGCCAGCTCTCTCTGACGGGATCACAGGGGCTTAATGAAATTAGCTCCCTCAGAAATGCCCCATTGTGGCCCCGTGGGAGCCGAGGGGCATTCGGGGAAAACTACTTGGCCCCACACCCCCTGAGAACCCAAGTCCCAGCCTCTGCTCGGGCAGGATGAGCAGGGAATCAGGCCTGGGCTCCGAAGAGGCGGCCTGCCCCGGCCACTGCAAGGATGCCCAGCCTGCTCCGTAACTCACCCTCAGGACAGGAGGGAAACGAGTGCGTCCAGAAATTTGCTGCGGTCCTCGGCCTTCAGCTCAATTACTGCAGTAATGAAAGGAAAACACCCGTGAGACGGGAGGCGTGGGACAGCAGTGGGAGCAAGCGAGGCGGGAGTGCCGACTCCCTCTTCCTGAGCCTGGAGCACCCTCCGTCGCATTCCAAACAGCCTGGGCAGTTCTGTGGCCTGGAATGTCCCAGACAAAGAGGTCACAGCTCCCCGTCCCACTATTTAGTCACTAGAACTACCAGCTGTCCTGGTGGAGGCCGGAGCTGTGGCCTCCAGGGAGGACCCTCTGGGCAGTGGAGGACTCTACGCTGGTGTCTGGGGAAGCTCCTGCCAGGTGGGCCTCCACCCTGGGCTTGTGGACACATGGGTGGGTGGTGTCAGGTGCCTGAGCTGTCCGGCAGGCTGAACCCCTTCACAGCACAGACCTGGCTGAGGGTTGGCATGGGGGCATCACCCTTGGATGGTCACAGGCCTCACCCCTGCACCAAGTCCTCTAGCTCCCCAGAAAAACTCTCCCTCTCCTCAGGGCCTGCCCCACAGGAGATGTCAGGTTGTGGGTTCCTGATCTGTTGCACCCCAGAAGGTCCTGAGTCACCAGGAGGAGCTGGGCCTGGGGCAGGTGGGTTCCTGACCTCTTGCACCCCAGAAGGTCCTGAGTCACCAGGAGGAGCTGGGCCTGGGGCAGGTGTCAGGAGACAAGAGGGCGGCTGGCCAGACGTCTCCAGCCACAGCAGCGTGCCCACTCCGGCGTCAGCCTGCCCTGACCTGACTCTTACCCGAGAGGTCGAAATGGTTGTGCAGCGTGCGCGAGTTGGTCCTCTCGGCCGCCTTCTCGAACGCCCGCCCAAAGAAGCTGCAGACACAAGACAGAAAGACAGACAGACGTGTGGGGAGCCAGCCACCTGCAGCGGGCCACGCCTGCCCCGCTCCCGTCGGACACCGGAGGGCACACGGCACGGGACTCGGCAGGCAGACAGGCCATGCCCTGAGGCCCCTGCCGCTCACCCCAGGGCAATGGAAGCCGCTCACTTCTTCCTGTCTGAGGTGTCGGTCTCCGGGGGGATGCCCACCACGGTCACGGTGCCCTGCTCCACGTTGAGGGGGGCGGCCATCACCAGGGGCAGCAGCTTGCAGCGTCGGTTCTTCGTCTGGAAATAAAGGACACTCAGTCACGGCACCCCAGGGCCCAGCACGCCACGCAGGGTCCCGGAGCCATCAGGATCCCTCTGCTCTTCAAAAGCTGCCCGGACGCTGTCACTAGAGGAGACACTCAAGTCCCCACGTGAGCACCCAGCCTCCTGCTGTGCCACCTGCCCAGCCACCCTGCACCCCACTGCTCCTCATGGGCGTTCTGCGCTGCTGTCTGCTCAGGTCTTGCCATAGCTGTCACCTCCTCCAGGAGGCCCTCACAACCGCGCCGCTCCACCCTCTCCCTGGAGCACCCCACCTGAAAACGCATGCACTCATCCCTCGCCTGCCCGCACACAGTCTCTCAGGACGGAGAGAGCGTCTCCTTTACAGCTGAGCCCATGGGACTACACCTCACGACCAAGGAAACCCACTGTCCAGGGCGGAGGAGGGCCCCGGGAAGCCATCTCCATGACAACAGGTCTGACAGGTGGTGGCTGCTACATAAATGTCCAGTAAATGAACAGGGCCTGTGGAGTGGGTATGTATGCACCCACTTCACAGATGAGAAAATCGAGGCCCGGGGCAGGCGGCCTATCACATCACACCACTGGTAGATGACGTCAAGGCTCTGATTCCACCCCTCGTTCTCTTCTTTTAGCCAGAAGTGTGAGCGTTCACGAGAAAAGAGCGAGAGAAAGCATCCCCCTAGGGAACGGTCACGCTGCCATCCCTTCTCCACCTCTCCCCACTTTTGGGGATTTGGGGCACACATGCACACACACCTGGCATGCTTTTCAAGCCACTGGGTCCAGGATTCAAACCACCTAGTCAACCATGTGGGATCCAGCTCCTTTAACCACCGGACCATGAGGCTGGCCCTGATTCATTTTGTGTTATGTTTTTTGTTGTAAGGCATGCGTGCTCGCCAGAGAGAGCAGGAGAGACAGAGAGAGAGGGAAAGGGAGAAATCACTCCCCACGACCCCAGGGGAATGGCCATAGCACAATCTCTTCTCCAGTCCCCTCTCAGGATTTTGGGTATGCGTGCGCACGCGCACACACACACACGCACACATACACACACGGCATGATTTTCAAACCAATGGGTCCAGGACTTGAACTGTGGTTAAGACGTGTGGGACCCAGTGTCTTAACCACCACGCCACCTGCTGGCCCTCTGATTGTCTTCATAGAATATTCATAGACTCATTTTACTGATTGGCTTAGCAGCATGAGAATATTTCATCTTCTGGGACCAGCAGTTAGTGTAAAGGCTATGTCGCTGGACTCTCACGTAGTCGACCGTGGTTCGAGTCCTGGACCCGGAGGCTTAAACTCACACCGGGCGTGTGTGCGTGCGTGCCCAAGATCCCGAGAGGAGAATGGAGGAGAAGGGATTGTGGTGTGGCCATCCCCCCTCGGGGGAGATTTCTCGCTTTCTGTCTTTCTGG